CCGCCAGCTGGTCGATGAACATGCACTGACACGTCAGTAGCGTCTGGACTCTCTCGGGGTTCCCCTCCTCGCAGGCCCGCCACAGCTCGGCGCTGAGGAAGGCGAAATGCGTCAACAACTCGTGCGTCGTCGGCTGAGCCCCCAAAGGACTGTGCTCCCGAAAATACTGGTGCATGGCCATGGGGGTCACGGCGCTGACTTCCACGCCCAGGACGCGGGCCAAATTCTCCTTCATCCGTCCTCGCACGTCGGGGCCGTGCTGTATCAGCGCTTGCTGCCACTCGCGCCTCCGAGCAATGCCCCCCATCGGGGCCGACGCGGGCGCGGGATCGCCCGAGCTCGTGGGCGGAGATTGAGCAGAGTCGCTCAGAGTCCCCAGAAGCGGGTGGACGGTGGGCCGATGGCCCCGCCCCTGCTGCAATAGGAGGGACTGGTGCAGACACTGTAGCATGAGGCTGAAGTCCGTCTGATTGGCTGCATGGGGGAGCTCTGACCCGTCGGCGCCGCCCGCCTCGGCAAAGCCGTCGGCCACAGCGGGATGGGCTAGCCCAGGTGGCGGCGGGGGACCCATCGTTCCGAGGCCCGAGGTAGGGGCTCGAGGAACAGCAAGAGAGCGCGCCTTTTCCCACGCCGCGACCAGCGCGGAGGTCGGGCCCTTGGGACGTGCGGAGACCCGCTGTGGGGCCACGGGCGCGTGGGACAGGACGGCCTCGATCCCCGCAGGATCCAGCCCGAGGCGCACCGCTTCGTCGCTGAAAAGTTGGGGCACCTCGGGCCGTTCGCCCCGGGCAGCTGGAGCGAAGCCCAGCGGCTCGGGGCCGCCGACCATCGGGGAGGCCCCGTGAGCTGCAAGCAAGGCGCGCATTTCGGCAGCTACTTCGGCACGGGTCATAGGGGCCCCGTCGTCCAGGGACGCCGCGGGAGCGCCAGGAGCGATCGGAGTGGGACCCGCGACCCTGGGCGGCACGGCGGTGGCTGCGCGCTTCGCGGGTGGGCCGCGTGGGACTCCAGCGTCCGCAGGGGACCGCGCACTTGGGACCGTGCGGTCGGCTTCCCCATCGGCCGCGAACCCCTCGGGCTCCTCCATCTCGTCGGCGGATTGATAGGGAGTAGCTCGATCGGCCCCTGGGAGCGGCTCTTCCCCTGCGGTAGGAGGAGCGCCGTGCAAGCGTGCGTAGCCCTCGCGAAGCACCCGAACCCCCGAAGGATGTGGCCAGTAGACGCGGCCGCGCACCTCGGCGAAGGGAACGATGCCAGCGTCCGCGCCGACTTCCAGAGGGTAAAGCGACTCGAGCTCGAGCTCTGCAACCTCGATATCTATGACGAGGACGGATGCGGTAGTGGCGAGCGGCCGTGAAGCGGCACCCAGGAGCTGGATGTCCACCAGCTGAAAAGGGCCTAGCATTCCCGTAAAGCCACCCGCCTCGGCAGCCTCGAGCTCCGCCGAAGAGCGAAAGGCGCCAGGCAGGGCCAGAAGTATGCCCCCTTCCCGAGACGCGAGGGGGATAGCTGCCCAGCTGGTGTCGCCTTCGTCTAGGCGCCATCGTGCGTAGTCGCGAGCCGTGGGAGCTGCGAATGGGTAGAGCTCGGGCCAGAGAGGCCCTCCGCCAACTGGTGGCAGCTCAGCCATCAATGGGCGCTGCTGTGGGAGCTGGCGCCCGAATGCTGGGCGTCAGGCCGCTCGAGCGCTCGGGGCCGAGGCGGAACCCCGTAGGCCAGCGCTCGCGCCGCGCGGCGGTCCTGCTCCAGCGAAGCAGGACCAGCACCGCGCGGCCAGGCGGAAGCCCTGAGCCTCCGCCCCACGTACGGGCCCCACAGCCCGAAGCAGCAGCCTGCGCAGGCGCTGCACGCGGCCGTCACCCAGAGAAGGGCGACGACCGTGCTGAGCAGCCAGGGAGAGACCCCGCCGCTCAGATCCACCGCCAGCCCGAGGCAGACGGTGGGGCAGGCAGAACCCGCCGAGGGGAGGGGGCAGAAAGCCCCCTCGCCCTCAGACGAGTCCGCCTGCTGGATGGACCAAGCAGGCACAGGAGGCCCTTGGTCCTGGAGTACAGAGAAGGGGGCAGCCACGAGCCGCTCGTAGAGCGCGGCCCGCAGCCCCCTGAAGAAGATCTCCCCAGCGCCCCCGAGAGCCGCTTGTACGACCGCCTGCATAAGGCGCCCGCACGCGCGGCCGATGGGGGGGCGCCCTGGGCAGAGAAGCTGCGGAGACAGCAGGAGCTTGCTCACAGAGAATAGAAGAAGCAAAGAGGGAGGAGGAGCAACCACCTCCAGGCCCCGTTTCCCTTAGGACCCCCCGCCCCCTCGCGGGGAGCGCCAAAACGTTCACCACCTCAAGCAGCCTGGCCAGGCCCAAGCCTGAGGCCCAGGACCGGTGCTTCTGCACCCTGTCGGCTTGGCCAGGGAGGGCCTCCGGCGGCGAGCCCGAAGGGGGGTGGCATGTGAGAAGGAGCGGGCCTCCTCAGAAGGCGCGGAAGGCCCCCGGCCTTCTGCGAAGCTTTCTGAGCCTTCTCGAGCCTGTTTTGCAAATTCGGGCAAGTTTACTCGCATGGCGTTCGCCCTCTCTCCCCCCCCCCTCGCGCCCCTCCTCAAAAGGATATTGGCGCGCAAGAGCCTTTCGACTTGCGTCTGATTTCCGCACGTGCAAGTCGTTTGCGCCTTGCTTTAGGTTCAGGCCCCACCGTCCATGCAAGCAAACCTGCCGGAGTCAAAAAAAACAGGCTCCTCTCGGAGGGCCGGGGGCCTTCCGAGAAGCCGCGCCGCCTGCCGAGAGGGCCTCCTCCTTCGCACCTCCGACCCCCCCTTGCTCGCCGCCGATTGCGGTGGCGGTGGCGGGCCCTCCAGGTGGTGGGCCCTCGCTCGCCGCCGAGGCCTGGCCAGGACGGGGCGAGGTGGTCCGTGGGCCTCCCCCGACCTGCCCTTCCTTCCCTCGGAGAAGGGCCAGCTGAGACCTCTATACGCCTCTCTCCTCCTCCTCCTCCTGCTCCTCCTCCTCCTCCTCCTCCTCCTCCTCCTCCTCCTCCTCCTCCTCCTCCTCTTCATCCTCCCCCTCCTCTTCATCCTCCTCCTGTTCCTCCTGTCCGCCTGGCCAGGATCCGATGGCACAGCGACCTTACGTCGCAGCTTACGCAGGCCGACAGCGCGGCGCGCTACAATAAAGACGAGGGCGCTTACGCGCGACCTCACGTGGGCAACTTACGCGCCAACGCCGTCGACAACGACCCCGTGTTGCGTGAGTCGCTCACCCGTCTCCCGAAGCGGAGGGAGCCGTGGCGACGGGAAGCCTCCCGGAGGCCCCCCCCCCAGAAGGCATCGACCAAAACGCCGAGGCCCCGCCCTCACAGCCCTCCGAGGCGGATCTTGAGCCGCGGCGACGAGCAACCTCCCAGGCAGGCCCACGGGAGGCATCGAAAAACGCCAATGGGGGGGGGGCCGCCGCCGCTGCCTCGGCGGGCCCCCCTCCGGTGCAACACCCCCTCCAGGGCCTGCCCGTCCGGAGGGACCAGATCCCGGCAGGTGGGAGGCACGCAGCCCAGGCCTGCTCGCGTCGCGAGAAAAGTCGCGACGGAAGGTTTTTGGGCCGTTTGCGGCCTCTGGGGGCCCTCGCCGGGCCCCGGGGCGACGGACAGGTTTTGTGCCGTTTGCAGCCTCGGGGGGCCCTCGCCGGGCCCCGGGGCCGTCCAGAAATGGCTCGGGACGCAAGAGGGGCCCTGGGGAATGTGTCCGGACTTCTGGGGGTTCCCCGCGCGGAACGGATTAGGACATCGTACTCCTGGGAAGGAGCCGCGCCCAGCTGGCGCATCGGCAGACCATCCACACGATACGAAGGTCATCGGAATCTGATAGAGCCACGAACCCCGATCTTGGAGCGCAGGTGGGCAGCACTTGCGAGAAATAACAAGATTAGGAGGGGGATTCGAGCAGGACGTCTCGTCGGCCTCCGTGCCCCGAGGCACGAGCTGGAGTGTTCACAGGTCCCCTGTGGCCCTCTGTCCTGAGTCCTCAGGACTGAAAAATGTACAAGCTTGCATCGCGAATGCAAGCGCGCATGAGCGCAGACACCTAGCATAGGCCAGTGCTGGGCGGCGGAAGGGAGCACATGTGCGGAAGGACATGCTAGTACGATGCGCCGCCCGCAGCGCACGTCCGAGCCGAACATTCTAGTTTACATACAGATTACGGTACACAGCCGAAAAACGGCCACAAGACCGTAGATCAAGACGTGGACGAAAAGCACCGCAAGGTGTGGGGGGGGGGGGGGCAACGGCGAAGAACACAATGGCAGCTCTCAATTACCTAGGTTGGTCTTGGCCCTCGTGCCAGCTGCATCGTTACCCAGGCGGTAAGGCCAGAAAGCCCCGGGCAACGAGCATACACTGTAAGAGATCTGAGCGCGCGCTGAGTATGCTGGGGGCCGACACACACGAAGTATGCTGGGGTAGCTCCGAGCGGAGCCCGCGCGGCCGCAGCCAGAGGCAACGATGAAGGGAAACATCAAGACGGAATCGGCGATGCATGTCCGATAGATCGGCGATGGACCCCCGATAGCAAGTCCGTACGCTCCTGGGCGGGGCGGGCTATCGGGCCCCAATCGACGGTGAATGGGCGCTGGGGGGGTGATGCATCCCCCCTCTGAGCCTGTCCCCGTCCTTGGTGGCTTTCCGGCCACGCTCGGGCCTCCTCTGGCGGCCATTCGGCACGATCCGGGCACCTCCAGAAATCTCTCTGCGGGCGCAGCTGGAGAACGTCCCGAGGCTAGGCCGCCGAGAACAGACGCAAACGCCCGAAACCCTGAAACATCGAGCCTGCCTATCCCCAGGGCCGGTTCGTCTTCGCTGGCCGTGCTTCTTGACGGCCCCGGGGCCCATCGGGGGCCCCTGGAGGCCGAAAACAGCCAAAACTGCCGCCGTGACTATAACTGCGCGAACATGTCTGGGGAGCGACCGGTCCCCGCGGATCCCGCGCTGGCCGAAGCCAAGAGCGGGCGGGAGGGGGGGGACCCGCAGGAGGCGCTGCTGCCCCCGCAGTGCTGGCTCTCGCAGGCCTCACGGGCGCCCCCCCACAGGCTCCACACCACTGGCGGTGACCGAGGGGCGCGAGGAGCGAGGATCGAGGACCGAGGGTGAGGACAGTGAGGACGAGGAGGAGGAGGAGGAGGAGGAGCAGGAGTAGGAGCAGGATGAGGAGGAGCAGGAGGAGGAGGAGGAGCAGGAGGAGGAGGAGCAGGAGGAGGAGCAGGAGAAGGAGAAGGAGAAGGAGGAGGAGGAGGAGGAGGAGGAGGAGGAGGAGGAGAAGAAGGAGGAGGAGGGGGAGGAGGAGGAGGAGGAGAGCGGCGGATAGAGGGTCGCGGTGCCTGCAGGTCACCTGTCTTCCCGCCTGGTGCCTCGCGGCGCGCGACTCGCAGTTATGCTCACGCCCTGGCGCCACCGCCCTGGAGAAGGGCACCTCTGCGGCCCAGACCTGAGGATTAACAATAGGGGGGGTCCGGCTCGGGAGGGGGGGAACATCAACTCGGAATCTGCGATACATCGCCGAAAGATCGGCGATGGCCTCGACGGCAAATCCGGGCGCTGTCGGGCCCCTATAGAAAATTGTGGTCGACGGATCCTCCCTGCGCCGTCCGGGACGATTCCGGCACCCCCGGAACGCCCTCGACGAGGCGCAGCGGATGGAAACCACCCAGGGCCTCGAAAACGCCCGAAAACGTTGGAAGACTTTCGAAAACTCCTCGAAAAATCACCACCTGAGCCCATGCCCCCTAACGTTGCTCCCTCCTCCTCCTCCTCCTCCTCCTCCTCCTCCTCCTCCTCCTCCTCCTCCTCCTCCTCCTCCTCCTAAGATCTTCCCTCCTCCATCCTTTCCCCCTTCCCCTTCACCTCCTCTGTCCCCCTCTCCTCCTCCGTCCCATTCCTTAGCTTGTTGAGTATCTTCATCGCCGCTGTCTTCGTCGTCGTCCCCCTTCAGGGTCGGCGGCACCGGCCGTAAGCCCTCTGACGCTGCTCCCGAAGGCCGCGCGATGCGCGCAGCGCGGTGATTGGCGCGCCCCTGCGAGTGACCCAGGATAGTGGGCACCTCAGGCCATGTGCTTCGGGCGTGGCTTGATGGGGGGAGAGGAGGAGGAGGAAGAAGAGGAGGAGGAGGAGGAGGAGGAGGAAGAGGAGGAGGAGGAGGAGGAGGAGGACCACTGCAAACCCAAGAGTCATCAACGACGCTGGAACAGACCCTCCCTCCAAGCTCCCTCTGCACAGGCCCCTACAAGGATTCACTTGCACTGAGGGGAGTGCCCCGTTAGGAGACACCCGTTTGAACATCCTGAAGCGCGCCAAAACACCATTATCATGACTTCAACGCCACGGTTCAACCTGACCGTTGCGTCTTGACGGCCATGAATCGCGCCAGACAACATTCCTGGGACCTCAACACCGCGAATCAACATAACTGCTGCGCCCTGCGAATCCTGAACCTTTGCAAAGCACAGCTTCTGGTGCGTTAACCATGAGACCGAACGAGACTCTTGACAACTCTTTAAACGAATGTGAGCGGCGCTGAGGCGAGAGCCAGGAACCGCCCTCAATCCGCTATTCTTGTTAATTGTTTAAAACGAATGTGCGCAACGCTCAGGCGAGAACCGCATGTTGAAAAAACGCCCTCAATCCGCTAAACTCTTACAAATGCTTAAGGAGAGTATACGCGACGCTGCGGCGATAGCCACACTTTGAAAACGAACCGTCCTCAATCCGTGGAGCTCCTGTAAACATTTGAAACGGATGTGTGCGGCGCTAGAGCGAGAGCCACATGTTGAAAACCATCCGCTATCCATATGTGAAACGGTTGCCAGTGTTTAAGACTCAGGTTCATAAATGGTAAGGAGGTCTTAGGCAAACGCCTGGCCCGCCCTTCCGACTGGCCTAGGGGGAGGAGGAGGAGGAGGAGGGGCAGGAGGAGGAGGAGGAGGAGGAGGAGGAGGAGGAGGAGGAGCAGGCCTGCGTCTGCGCCTTGCCGAGAGTGTCTAAATTATCGGCGCTCCCGTGCGGGAGGTCCCAAACATTCTGCGAGTCTAAATTCTTGAAGCCCGCATCATCTGAGGAGGAGGAGCAGGGGCAGAAGGAGGAGGAGGAGGAGGAGGAGAGGGGGGCAACAAACAGGGGGGAAGGGACAGGTACGCCCGCTTGCTGGGCCCCCAAGGAGCCCCCCATCGAGGCCTCCGGAGCCCCCCCCCCGCGAGATCCCCGCCTACCTTGGTTGACCCCCGGGGGGAGACCACGGCGGCGGGGGGCCTCCCGCCGTCGTCGGCGCGTCCTCGGGGCCGTCGTCGGGGGACCCTGCCTCCTCCTCCTCCTCCTCCTCCTCCTCCTCCTTCCTCCTCCTCCTCCTCCTCCTCCCTCCTCCTCCTCCTCCTCCTCCTGCCCCTCAGGCAGCGACCCCAGGACGAGAGCCCGTCCGCGGGGATCGTCGAGGGGCGGCTCGTGCAAGCTGCGCCCCCGCCAGCTCGAGGCGGGCTGCGCCCCTCGACCCCGCAGGTGGAGCGACGAACGACGAGCCGATCCTCCGCGGGCCCTTCCCCGGTTCGGGACCCGCCCCCTCCTCCGCGCTCCTCCATCCCTCCATCCCTCCCTCGCTCGTCCTCCTGCGCCTCCATCCTTGATTCATTCTGCCTGCTCCTTCTCCTCCCCCATCCTCCCCCTACCACCACTCTTCTACAAGAAAAACGCCTCCTCGTCGCACTATTACGCGTGTCAGCAGGGCGGATTCGCTACTGCGGAGCCCGCCGTAGTTTTGACTGCGACGGGCCCCTTGTCGCTGCGACCCCGAAAAAACGGTAATTAGGGCGGGCTGGGCGTTCCGCTGAAGACCCCCGCATCGCTTACGATCCTGACGCGTGGAACTTCCAACAGCTACACGGATGGAGGGCGGGTCGCTTCCCAAATGCGACTCTGGTTGCGACCTCCTCCGCGACCAGAAGCCTACTGGCAGCGTGCAACAGTCACACGGTTGGAGGGCGGCCCCGTTTGACAAGCAGGCCCCGACCGCGGACTTCTTAAAAAAACGCGCGGCCGAAGTTCATCGGTGCGCAGCTTCGGGGTGCACTGACGGTGGGCGGCTCCTCCTAAGAACGAGGCGCCCGCCGGACACCTCCGCGATCCGTGTGGTCAGACCTGCCGGCACATCCTGCAACCAGGAAGATGGAGGGCGGTCCCGACGGTGGGGGCATTGGACAAGGAAGTATTGGATAAGGGACCCAGGGTCTGGAAGCCAGTGGAACTCCAATCGCGGATTGGCAGTGGATACTACCGCCACCCTCATCAGACAAGGAACCCTCCAGGGTCTGAAGCCTCCCACGCACGCTCCTCAACCAAAGCCCCCACCGTATCTAAAACGGGCGCCTCGCCTGAAAATCATGCCCGTGGGGAGCTCGTCCTCTGAGGGGCACGTCCCGTGGTGGAAAGGACTTGCTGCAGGGACGTGTGATGATGCAGTTGTGACGGGAGAGAGCACTGGAGCATCGTTGACGCATCCTAGGCTTATTCTGGTCCTCCTGCTCCTCCTCCTCCTCCTCCTCTACTTCTCCTTCTCATCCTCCTCCTCGTCACCATTATCATCATCAGCACCATCATCACCACAGCCACCATCACCATAACCACCACCATCATCACAATCACCATCACCATGACCATCACCATCGCCATCAGAATCACCATCGTCATCATCACCAGCATCAGCATCAGCATCAGCATCCTCAGCATCAGCATCAGCATCATCATGACCATCGGCATCAGCATCGTCATCAGCATCGTCTTCATCATCATTATCACCACCATCATCATCATCATCATCATCATCATCAGCATCATCAGCATCAGCATCATCATGAGCATCATCAAGAGTATCATCATCAGCAGCGTCAGCAGCAGCATAATCAGCATCGCCATCATCATCAGCATCATCATCATCGTCGTCAGCCTCATCCTCATCATCGTCCTCAGCAGCAGCAGCGTCAGCAGCATCATCATCAGGATCATAATCAGCAGCATCACCACCACCACCACCATCATCATCAGCATCAGCATCATCATGAGCATCAGCATCATCATCATCATCATCATCATCAGCAGCAGAATCATCACCATCATCGTCTTCGCCATGATCATCAGCCTAATCTTCATCAGCATCCTCAGCAGCATTATCTGCAGCATAACTCTTATCGTTGGCATCATCATCAGCAGCATCAGCATCAGCAGCAGCAGCAGTATCATATCGTCCACTTCCTCCTCCTTCTCCTGTTCTCGCTCTCTCTCTCTCTCTCTCTCTATCTCGCTCGTTGGGGCGTATGATACGCTAACGCAGTCATCTTTGGGGTATACGCTAACGCAGTCATGGTATGAATGCAGCGTGTTGCTGTGTGGATGTTCTGGCTCTTCTTCCTCTCACACGAAGTTATGCTTGTCATCTGTGGTATCCCATTCGCTGGCATAGTAGATGTATGCGTCGTGCTTCTGAGACTCGCCACACCGTGGCGGGAAAGACGAATCAGAATCATTGCTGGCACCTGCCCTGTGCTCACCCTGCTGGCGCTGGCCATCACCGGGTACAGACGACTTGATGATCTGATGGGCCTCTCTCTCTCCATCCCTCCCTCTGTCTCTGCTTTGCTCGTTCGCCCCACCCTTGTCTCATTCCATTAGTTTGACATATGCTTTCATATCGAACCTAGTTTGCACAACAGCCACGTGTCGAACACATTGCAGATCCTGCCCACAGGTGCCAATCTGGGTCTTTTAGTGCTTGTCAGGTTTCTCGACATGCTTGCAGCGCATATCATTGTCATATTGTGTAGTATTGCAGTTTCGTTCTTGCTTGTAGCCCGGCTTGGGCACTAGCGATGAAGGTCGCTGCGGTAAATCCACTGTTCCGAGGTCCTAAGGCTGGGCGGTGCCCCTGATGAGCCCGTGGTGAAAAACAAGTGGGTACATCTCTCTCTCTCTCTCTCGTGTTGTCGCTCATTGTTGTTCTCTCTCTCTCTCTCTCTCGCATTCTCTCCCCCATACCTCTCTCTCTCTCTCTCTCTCTGTCTCCCTCCCCCCCTCTCTCGCTACATATATATATATATATATACACACAAAAATATGTGTATCGTTCTCTCGTCCCTATGACGTTCCACTCATAGCATGTACTCCGAATTTGTCTCCTAGCGGGCCGATAGGGGTGACATCCAGGACGACTGATTCCACCTTCCTTGAAGAACGATACACATTCTACGGTTCCCCGTTCAACATTGTTTCTCGCTTCCACAGCTGATCCCGCTAAGAGGTGCTCGGAGAGGGCGTGAATCAAAATGTGCACCCGATTCGGCACATGCCCTCTTCCCTAGCAGAGCGGATCGACGAAGGCGCTTTGGCGCCCATCCAAGTGGAGGGCGCGCAATCAGGGCGGGCTGAGTCTACAACGTCAAACGCGAGGAGAGGGCAGGGAAACACGTAGAAGCAAGCACAGAAATCATTGGACCCATTGTCGTCTCCGTTGCAATACGCGCGGCGGGAATGGGATTCAAACTCGTCGACGCGCACGAGCATAAAAATGGCGCTCTCGCCTCGGCGACGCACACAGTTCGCTTGAAAACGGCGTTCCCGCCTCGGGCGCGACGCATATTTATCTCTCGCCAAGTGTTTGGATCCCCCGCGCTGGCGGGCGACTGGTCTCCCTCGCCCAAGCTCCACACATCTCGCTTTGGAGTGGCGGTCCCGCGTGGGCGCGGCGCTGATATCGCTCGCTGGATCGCACAGAAGCGACAGGCGGCAGCGGCGCCGTGCGAGAGCACGCGAAGTGCTATCTTCTCGCCCAAGAGCCACACCATGTGCGTGTGTGTGTGTGTGTGTGTGTGTGTGTGCGACTGAACGTCCACGTCTGAGCGCTCCCCCCCTCCTCCCCTCGCGCGGCCGCCCTCTTCTTCGCTCCTTCCTCTTGCACGCCAGCCAATTCGCCTTTCACTTGCCCCAATTCTCCCCACGCTGGAGAAGACTGACCCCTCGCCGCCGACGAAAAAATGTGTGTGAACGTGGCAGTGCTGCTTCCGCACGGTGCAAGCATCGCCTCTGCCAAGCTCCCGGGAAGTCTTGCCGCTCCGGCCCCTGAAGCGGGCAAGCGCAGTCTTTCCATAATTCGCCACATCCATTGGGGGCGGCACCGCGCGCGAGCGCCTTCCGCTCGCCAGGCGGGAACGCGCTCCAATTCCAATATCAAGCTGTGTCACAATGCTCATCACAATCCAGTGTTTTTAATGTTTGTATGCTTTAATCTTTCACTTGTTTGTAACCATTTTCTTTGGAGGGGGAGGGAGACGGGGTGGGTGGGACGGGGCGGGGCCCGCTGCCTCGCCCCACCTGGTAAACTGGACCAGCATCCTACTCTCTCGAGACCCTGGACGTCATTGCTTTTGCTTCTCACGTCGGCCCCCAGAGGTCTCGCCCCATGCCCCGCGACGGTTTCTTTGTCGTCCGGAGTCGTTATCTGACGGCCTCGACGCCCGGCAAGGGCCCCCAGAGGCCGCAAGCAGCGAGAAAAAACTTGGGTCGTGATTTGTTCATGACTTGAGGGGGTCTGGGCCCCCACCTGCTTCCCAGCGTCGTCTAACATCTGCTCATGCTCATGCTGTTAAACGCCGACCCCCTCCTAATGTTTTCCCGCCCCCTTCCCTCTGCGCATGCCCAACCAGAAGGACGAGGGAGACGACGACGACAAGGACGAGGATGACGAGGAGGAGGACGAGGATGACGAGGACGAGGACGACGAGGAGGAGGACGAGAAGGACGAGGAGGAGGAGGAGATCACCCGAAAGCTCTGGAGCTCCTGAGAAGTTGCCGGAAGTCCCTGAGGCCTCTGGAAGCCTCCAGGGACACCGAAAAGAAGCGAGAGACGCGCGATTGCAAAAAAAAACCAAACAACAAAAACAAAAACAAAAAAAAGAATTGCAAAAAAAAACCCTTTGTGTTTTTGTTGTTTTTTTGTTTTTTTTGCAATCCTTCGAACCTCGATCCTCGACGCCGCATCCTCCCCGAGCCCTCCACGCGCCGTGGGGCAAACGGCGCTGGGAGGTCTTCGCTGTTGCTCGGCGTCTGGGGGGGCCCTTGCTGGGCCCATGGGGCCTAGCAACAAAAAAAAAAAACGCTGGGTGAGAGGCCGTCCCCGAAGGAGTGCCCTGCCGTCGCTGACGGACGTCCATTCCCCGTATCTGTTTCGGCTTCGTGCGTGCTTTTGAAGAACACATGCTGCTCAGAATGATGCAGGATGACCCTCGATGGCCATCACCGGAAAAAAAGGCACACGTCCGAACGAGGCCAACACCAGAAAAAATGCACCCGTCCGAACGATGCCAAGGTGGTCCAGACCTCCAAGCGGGCCCACGTCGTGACACATCACGACGTCGGAGGTCGGGGTCCTCGACCCTGACAACCCTCGAACGCCCCCCTGTTGGCATACAGGCCTGAGAGGGACGAGCCCCGATT